AACTTGTAAAATATTAATAAAACGTTTAGTAATTTTCTGTTTCATTAAGAAAAAGCTATTTTCTTTAATATTTATAAAGAATAATAATATAAAAATTATCTATATATATTAATAGTTATTATTGAAACAAAATATGCATTTTATTATCTTTATCACTCTTATTGTAATTTTGCATGAATGTGATAAGTACAGGTTGTTGTATTATAAAGTAATTGGGAGTAATTTAATTATAATAAATATTAATTAGTTGAATATCTTTTTTAATAATACATATTTAGAGGAATATTTATTTTCATGTTATTAAAATCTATTAATATTAATCAACTTATATAATTGAAGTAAATGATATTACAATGTATAAAAAATATAAACTTAAAATATAAATACACATAATATTATCTTTCATTAGAAATTGCTAATATTAATATTAGTCTATATTATAATTTTTATGTTGAAAATGAGATATCTTGAACATTTTTATAATAATAAAATTTTATAAAATTTTATAAAAAATTTTATTATTTAAATTAAAACATATCACAAAGAATATACGTGATTAAATTTATTCGCCAAAAATTTATGAATTGATATTAGTGCGATCATATATATAATATTTAGAAATTTTATTAAAATTAAGATTTATAATTCACAAAATAATAATATAAACAAGAAATATATATATTGTATATTTTATATTTTAACATTATTACTAGTAAAAGTCACAATTTTCTATTGATTCGCTATGCTCTATATTCATTGAACATGTTTTTTTTAAAAATAATATATTTATCATTTGTAAGATTTGTGTTACGTTCTTTCATATATACAATAGTAATTTATAAAATTTTTTAAGAAAATTTTTAGAAAATGGTATGTATAGTTATAAAATATTTTACTTTTAAAGAATGAAAATATAAATTAGCATATATTAAAGTAATTCAACATTATACTTTATTTATTCCAAATACAATATTACTTTGTCACTCGCATAGATTTAATAAAATAAGGAATTTCTGTTATTTATACTTTGTTAAAATTTTTTATGTACCATTGTAATTATTTTTTATTATTTTTTATTATTATATTTTAATATTGATTTTATCCAGATACATAAAATTAATATATAAATTTTCTCTATAGTTTATAATTTTAATTAAAGAAAGGATTGATAAATAAAATAAACGGATTTATTAATTTGTTTGTTTATTGTAACGTTACATACTCATCGTATTTTAGTTTTGAAACCATTAGATAAAATTCCTTGGTTTCATAAATCTTTAAACTCATAAAGCTTTCATCGTAATTTATATTATGATTCAAACAATCGTAATGTATAATTTTTCTTCAAACAACACTATCATAATTTAATTTCTAGAACCGTGAAACAATACTATTTTTTTATACATAGTATTTTTTTGATAAATATTTTACACTGAATTTAGAATTTTTTCAGATAAAATCTTTATGAGTTATATACATTTGAATAATTTCGGCATAGGATAATTTTTTCAGTTATTTATATACTTAAAAATTTGAAAAAGTATATTATATATATTTATTATTAGAAATAATTAAATTTTATAACAATAATTACGTGAAAAAAAGAACTTAACGAATTTCTGGATACCCTAAATATTCTGTAAAATCAATATTTCCGAATGTAAGTATCCGAAGGTTAAATAATTATTTAAATTTTATTAAAATTCATATATTATAATGGAATTATGGAATAAAAGTATTTTACTTTAATATATAAAACAACTTGTTGTGCTTACCAAATATAAGGTGAAAATATATAATGTATAATGAAAATTCTTCTGGCTCACTGAAATTCTCGCTGACGTTCGGAGATCAAATTATTTGAATAGAAAAAAAAATCTTATTTGAATAAGTAAAGACGTGTGACATTTGCTACATAATAAAAAAATAGGGAAAAAATAACGCTTTTGTACGCATATGAATATGTATATGTGTATATGCATGGGTATGCTTGCATATAATTTACTAATAAATGTGAAATAAGACATATATTTTGTGGACGGTTGCCATGGAAAATGTCATTCAGCTAGTCTCTGTTATTTCTTTCTATTTTGTTTTTTTTTCCCTTTCCTCACTCACTCACTCACTCTCTCTCTCTCTCTCTCTCTCTCTACTCTCTCTCGTTCTCTTTCATATTCTTCATCCTTTTAACTCCCTTTTACTGTCTCTTAGGTTGTGTTGTATGTAATGTTACTAGACTTCAATCCACTCGAGTAACCTAAAAATAGTAGACATTTATTGAAATTATGGAATTCAGTAACGATTTTTTCTCTTTTTTTGTAAAGCAAGATTAAGAAAAGGAACTTTTCCAAAATGATGGAAGAAAGAGATGAGAAATTATTAGAGGATATTAATTTATTGGCTGAAATTAATTGAAAAAAGTTATCCGAGTCGCGTGTAGTTTCTAGAATAAAATGCTAACATGCGATTTTTCAAGAAAGCTTTTTCCGATATTTTTGAATCTTATTTATTTAATTAATAAAATATATTAAAAAAAATTTTTTTTAATATTCCTGAAGAATGATACATAAAATATAAATTATAATTTTGGTAAGTGTATGAAGATTTTTTTCAAAAATTCGTTTGAATATTTGTTGTATAAAGCATTGGAATTAATATTTCTAGTTAATAATTAGTATATCATACTTTAAAATTTTTCTTTTAATAGAATATAAAGTCACTTGTGCTAATTAAAAAAGTCTTCTTTATGAAGAAAAATGGAAATTGTAAGAGTACAAAAATATAAATAAAAATGATCGATCAATTTATATTCATTGATATTTCGAAATGTTAAATATAATATTTAATATACTTTTTTATGTAATTTTTGTAATGGAGATACATTAAACCATTTAAATTTAATTTAACAAAAAACTTCGAATTCAATAACCATATTTGAGAAATCAGAATACAAATTTATACAATATTTCATTTTTTTGTTTTATGTTTTTTCAGGCTGCATGCTTACATTCTTTAATATGATTTTATATTACTATTGTTTAATAATAATTAGTGGACTATGAATAAGTTATTTAAAAGTTCCCTTTGTGAATTAAATTTTTTGTAATACTATAAGTATTACTACGTATACTTTAATACAAGTCTATCGGATTATGTTTGTAAACTAATAGATAAATTATAATTTAAAGACGTACAAAGTTTGAAAATACTAGCTAAATTGTATAGTACAAAGTCGATTATATTTTTTTAAGTAAATAAAATAAATTTCAATCATAAATTCTTGAGAAATAATCTACATAGATATCTATTTACAAAACGGTCATTATTTTAATTACAAATATTAAATAAATATTTTTAGTTTTGAAAACATCAGGGATCTCTATAGTATATTACAAATAAATTGTTTGATATTAATGTATAACGTCATCGAGATCTTTCTGATTATTTAATTCAAAAGAATTCACCTAGGATCCTTAGACGAGAGAAACCATAACTCGCTTCCTAGAGGAAGGATGCAGCATTGATATGTGCCCACTACGTCTCGACGATTGAGCTGTCAAGGAAGTTGTTACGGTCGTCCTTGTGCTGTTCCCATGGGGGCCTGTGCCGAAACAGTGATGCGGATTTGTTGGACACAGTCCAGAAAACCACGAGATTGCTCGAATGTTTCTGTCGAGTATAATACGTTTATATTTGTTAAAATTTATATCCATTAATCAACTAATGAGATGCAATAATAAGGTGATAAAATAAACCTCAGTTTACATAGAGCTAGTATTTTGTTATTTTAAACTGCCGATTCTACTGAAATAAATATTATGAAAATTCTATCTTTGTCTAGATATTTTCTTTTAAAACAGTGGATGATTTCTATTTTTCGTTAAAATATAATACAAAAAATAGAAATAAACATTTCATTATTCATTTAATTTATATTTTTGTCACTGTTTAAAGCTTTAACAGCAAGAAGTCTTGTTTTTTCAGATCCTTTAATCGTTACATGTAAAAAAAAAAAATTTTATGAAGTCATAAAAACAGTTGAACTACAGGTAATAAATTACTTGTTTATAAATTTTTTCGATAATTATGGAACAAATGATATTGAAATAAATGTTTAATTACTTATATTTTATTTAGAAATTTATATTTATCAATATTCACGACATTCTTATTTCTATTACTATAGGTTTTACTTTTTAAAATAAATTATTCATCTAGTACCAACGTATTCTTTAATATCTTTATTTACTTTCTATGAATAATATACTTCTTTATTATAATATATTATAATATTTGATAATATAAAAGAATGACATTTAATAAAAATATTGTAGAATATTATAAGTTGGTATAATATTATAGTATTTATCAAATAATAATTTCATTCAATTGTGCTTATCCTTTGATCTTTAAAATCAGGTTATGGAAGAACTTTCACAAGACAAGATGCACATTATAAAAATAATATGTATTTATATGATTATATGTATATGTCTGTACCTATATATTTACTAAAAAACAAAATGTTTGTAAATTATAAATTTATTATTAATAATGTCAAAATTTGTAATAGTGTGTCAAAATAAAAGATAAATCTTTAGATAAAATAAGTATAGAAAATAATAGGTGATACAAGTTTTTCATAAAGATCTAAGTTTTATTGGAATTTATTTACATATATATTTAAATATGTAAAAATAATATTCAATTCAGTTACTTCTTATATTCCAATTTAATCGCAATTGATTCACTATGTTTCATTTGAAAATATATTTAAATTCTGTTGTATGTATTTTCATATGTCTTTGAAAACTGAAATTTTTAATAAATAGTATTCTATGAAGTATGTTCATTAAATCACTAATAATAATTTAATATTTGTAATTGTTTACTTATTATACGTGTGATATATTATAATTGCCATTAAATTACATATATTTATTAGATCATTGAAAATTAAGAAAGAAAATTTTTTAAATTTTTCTTTCTTTGATTAATTAATTACGAAGGAAAATGTTTCAGATTATTAAATTAATATTATTAAGAATTTGGTAATTGAAATTTAGTTATAAAGCATTTAACAATTTTTTTTATATTTTACATCTTTTTTTTAATAAAAAATATATATATATATATATATATATATATATATTTAAATATATCAGATAATCTATTCAGCAATCCAAACTTATTCTAAAAACTTTTTAATAAACATAAGTTAATTAATTAATTTTGTTTAGTAAATATTTTCTATAAAAATATTTATGTTGTAGTAAAAAATTTAATCTAAAATTGAATCTAAAAAATTGAGGATAAAATTAGTTTTATTTTGAAAATAAATAAAGAAATGTTTTTTCATTTCTTTAAAAAGTGTATTAAATACGTAGATTAATTTGTTAAAAAGAGGATCAATTTATATTTGAAGATAATCCGAAATTTTAACTTGATAACTAAACATATTCTTAACCAAATATAAAAAACTGATTGGTCGTGTAATTCACAATTACTTAACTTGCGTATAAATTAATGTTTATTATAAATAATATGTTCAAAAGAACAGAAATTTATATGTAACAATGAAAACAAATTAAATATTTTTTTTAAATAAATATTTAAAATTTATGTTAAAGCACTTATATACATTTGACAAAATAATTACATTTGGATTACAAATGGAATACAATTGGAAGATATGGAATTTAAAAAAAAAATACGAATGTTAAACTATATTATTGTTGTATATAATTTTATCATATATTTTATATGAGAATTGCTATAATATGCATGTATACGATTATTTTATGTTTATATTAAGTCGAATAAATATTAATTTCAAGTTTTATATAATACAAGATATAAAAATTATTAAGCATCAAAAAGCTAAGAATTACTTAATTCATGTATATAATTTAGATTTTAAAAAGTTCATAAACTAGTTAGAATAATTTTTGGTATAATATTTCGATAATAACAAATTAACAATATTCTTTAATATATTAATTATAAATCGTTCGGTTAATCAAAACTATGTTAATGGATCAACAGTTGAAAAAAACATTCTTTTAATGCTTTGATGATCACCGCTTTTGTGAAATAGCTCATAAGAAAGTTCAAACATATCTATCATCTCATAAATAAAAGTCATACATTGTGGCATTTATAAATTTATTACTAAATTATTCTAAATAACAAAATACACTTTTAATTAAGAACAGTATATCTGTCGCCGGCAACTTCTTGGTAGTATTTTTTTATAAAAGACGCCACTGAGCCATATGCAAACAGCTTTGAAATGACAAACAGGAAAAAAGTAACAAATATCATTTAAGAATAAATATAAAAATTGCAAACGGGACGATCAGAATTTTAATTTTAGCATCATGCTATTTTTACAAATACATAATCGGAAAGAAGCAAGTCGTTGCAATTAGTTGACGTCACTTGATGATCCAGTTTCTTTTTCATAGTAGATTGAATAACGAGACACATGATATTGTGGGGTCTTTAAGTTATTAGGATATTAAATAGATTTTTAGCTAAAACATTCATCTATAATAAAATGTGAATAGGAATAAAATTAAAATGTGCTTATATGAAAGTTTTAAAAGCAATAATTTAGTAAAATGTACTATATGTGTAAGTTAAAATTATAGATCATGACTGAATCAGCATTGTTCAATTAAGAATACGTTTTAAATCTTTAATAGTACTTTATACATTTTGGATGAAATGAATTTGCCTTAAATAATTGCATTTTTATAATATAATATAATAAATGTATTAAATTATATAATAAATAATAAATATATAATATTATATTTTTAAAAATATTTTCTATATATTATATATTATATTCTTAATTTAATATTCTTAGATATTCTTAATATTTCATATATTTTCATATTTTATATATTTTTGACTATTTTATATATATTTCAATATTTTATATATATTTTAATAATTTAAGAAAACGATTTTCAAATAATTATAAATTTGTGTATAAGAACAGAGATGTCTCATATTTGAAAATTTATGTTTTTAGACATGTCGCCATTATTTAAATTAGAAAAAATTGAATGAAAACAGTAAAAAGATTAAAATCATGATTAAAACTATATCATAAAAGGTCATAAAAGGTTGGAAGAACAGATACTAAGAGTCGCATAGACGAGAGAGAAAAGAGAGAAGTTCATTTTAATGTAGTGAAGTAGTGAGTATACTTATTAAATCATAATCAACGTATATCAAGCAAATATTCTACTAAGTAAAACAATTAATTATATAAACTAAAAAAATATAATCAATGTATAAAGAATATAAACTTTTTCTTTAAATCATGTAAATTAATATTTACTTGAATCGGCTTTGGATGAATTGAAAATAGAATAATTAACTATTTGAATGTAATCTATTAAGATATTTAACAAATTGACATTTTGAGTAAAAATTTAATGATGTATTTGTGTTTTGATATAATTTTTGTTTGATATTAAATATTTTTTACAAAATTTGTAATAAACGCTTATAATTCTATTTATTTTATAAAATATAAAACTGAACTGAAATATATTTGAAAAAACAAGTAATTACTGTTATTACAATGTATTTTTTAAAAACATTATATATATATTAGATTTTTAAGTTACTTTTAGTCCTATAATTTTTATTAATTCTTAATATTAAAAAAGGTTATTAGCAAATTTATAAGCTTGTTATGTACTGCTCGCGTTTTCTCATAAAATCTTTATGTTCTAATGTGAATAAACTGCATTCATTTTTATATTGTCGCTACCATAAAAAGCATTAAGCTGCTCATTAATAATTTAAATTTTATATTGTTAAGATGTGACGAGTCTATAATGGTAAGATGTTCTTGAAAAAATTAATAACTACAAAAATTATCTTGCACCGAAGTACTATCTAAGTTTTCTATCAAAAGATTAACTTTTATATTTCTCAAGTACAGATTCAAGAAATATTTTCTTTTAAGAAATTTTATTCATAATGATCCTTTTATTGCACTTTTCTTTTCTGCATTGTGTTTTTCATTAGTATTGATCTTTAAAACGTAATAAGATGTAATCATGTTCTTTAAGTGTATTTCATTCATTACAATCTTCAATTAAATATAATACTTTTACGGAATTCTATTCAATTTTATAATTTTTATTTAATTTGAGCTTCAATCTGTAGTATATATTATCATGCGAATTAATTTACGTGTCTGACATTCTTTCTATTTGTATTACCGTTTTCTTTAATTAGATACTGCGACTGGCAGTTATTCCATTCTTCTTTTAGTTGCAAATCTCCATATGTTAAATATTTATTACCTACTTAGAAATTAATGTGATTTTCATGCATCAATTATTATTTTTCAAAGAGATTGTATTCATATAAAAATAATAACATGAATATCAAAATCTTATATATTTAATAAATATTTAAAGTAGAAAATTATATTGCTTTATCTGTAACATTATAGGATAAAAATAGACTGTATAATAATATTATTGCGGCATTCATAAAAATAATAAAGAAATTTATGAGAATAATTATTAATTCACGAAAACAATATAATATTTTACTATAAGTTCTTTTATTGGATTTTTGGCTTGTATGTATGCAGTAATGAATATCTAGTTAAGATGAGAATGGACTTAAGCTACAGTAACGCTTCATCCTTTGAAGGAATATGTCACAGAGATTGAATAGTTTCAGTTTCAAAAGAATATATCATCGATATATTTGAGATATTATTGGTTATACTAAGTTTCGACTTAATATCCAACATGAATAATTAACAATCATTATTCAATTTATTCAATGTACAAAACTATTTCAAAGTATTTTAAAATGTTTTTCTAGAATTAAGAAACTCTTAATTGTCATTAATTTCAATATAAAAAAGTACTAAATATGCCTTTAAAAGATGTAAGATCAAAAGAAAACTAGATAATATTATTATTTATTTATTAATAATTTTATAAAACTTAATTTTCTTTTATTATTTCATGATTTTATTAAGTGTTCTATTAATGTATTTACTTAGAAACAACATTTAAATTATTATAATTCAAACTATTTTATCAAGTTTTTTTATCAAGTATTTTAACATTTTTTATTAAAATAATTCAATAAAATTATGTCGTAGAAAATATTAAAGTTATTAAATATATTTAATTACTATCTGGTACTTAAGAACTAGAGATATGTAACTATTAATATATGAATTTATATATACACATAATTAAAAAAAAACAAATAATACTAATCTAATAATATATTTAAACAATGATATACAGATCGAATAATAATACAATAGATACAATAATTAATAGAAGTATAATTATAACTATCTATTTTTTTATTGAATCAAAATAAATATACGATAGAAGATATTCCACTATAATAATTAAAATATTCTAATTCATATTCATATTTAGTAGATTTATTTAAATTTATATATAAAATCTACGTTAGTTTATCAATTTTTTTTATATTACTTATAATAAATATAGTACAAACATCTGAATTATCTGTAAACATATCTGTATACCACACTGAAAATGAAATTGATTGATGCAATGACATTAAATTGTCCAATATTTAATTTAATTAAGTAGACTTTTTATTTATACATATAAATGATAATGTTTTCAATTCTTAACATTATGTATGAAACACTAAGGCAATTTTTTGAAAAAATATTCAGTAATAACAAGAATTTTATTAAAAAAATTGTAGATAAAATACTTTTCAAACTAATTAATCTTGTTTAAAAATTAAGGCATTTACTGTGTCTGTAAGGATTTTAATATATATATAGGATATTAATATTTTGATTATTTTAAATTTTATATTTTGGAATTTTTATTATATGGATTATTATATGGATTCGACAATTAGTAAAACATAGACGAATTAATAATGAATAGAATTTTTAAACTATTTTGTAATATTTAGCAATTTAATAATAACAATGGCTTTACTTAATTTTTCAGTAGAAAAAATTTCCATGAATTTATTATATCAATCTGGCATAATTAAAAATTTGGTAAAAAATATAATGTGAAGTATTAAGAATAAGTTAATACATTTGAAGTATCTATACTTATGTAATTATTGTTTTTCATTTCATAACTTATGCAATATTGAACAAGAGTACAAATTACAAATAATTCTATTATATGACGTATAATATTTTTATTATTATGCCTTTATTATATAATGAAAAGAAGTTACTTCAGATAATAAATTAAGTTTAAAACTTTTAAAAAAATTTAATGTGATGAATTATGACTTTAATTATTACTTAGATTATAAAAAATGGTTTTTTTATTTAAAAATGTTTTATTAGAATATAACCTACCGGACTGTTTTGCAAAATGGAGTACTAAAAAGGCAGCAAATGATTGGATTCGCTGCAGAGTTGAGAGGAGCTAGGCTCTGTATAAAAGTGGCGATTGCTATATTAGTTTGTGATTTTGGTACGTGTCCATAAACTTGTAGGAGATCAAAGATGATGTATGGGCTCCAACATAAAATAAATACTGGAACAGTTAAAATAAATAGAGTTTGGTTATAATAACATGGTTAAATTTTTATTTTCTAAAAATACAATAATAAAAATAATTCTAATAATTCCTATAAAATTGAATAATGTAATTAAAAAAATAACGATGTTTCTATGTACATAGTTTTATAATTATTGGATATAAATATATATTTCTTTAAATTTAAAAGAGAAATCATTAAAATTGTGATTATTAAATTGAAATATATTGGTTTTGATTAATTTTATAAATAAATATTGTTTTTTACAAATATGATTTTCTATTTCATTCTAATTTTTTTCGGCCTGGAAATTTTTAGACGAATACATAATTTATAAAATATCAGTAAATTCTATTAAATATATTCAGTTTAATGTGTCAGATGACTTCAGCTATATTCAGATTTAATTAATATTTTTATTTAGCAAAATATCAGTAATGAAACATATTTGCTTGATAATATGGTGTCATTAAGACGTAGACTTAGTTCCATTTTAACTACTGTTTATCAGGTTAGGCACTCAAGATAAAATAGGGAGTAATAGAATAACATAGCGTCATGGAAAGAGGGGGATAGATAGACGGATTGATAGATTCATGGATATATAAAGACAGAGAAAGAAAGAGAGAGAGAGAGAGAGAGAGAGAGAGAGAGAGAGCATCGACAAATAAACATTTTTTCAGATTTTTCTTACTCTGATATCATAGTTAGTTGATGATGTTTGATGATCACAATTAGCAACACGGATTTTAAGAGATAATTGTACAAGAAGAAGAGTTAATTTAAACATAAAAATCCATTGCACATTAAATAAATTTTTTAATTTCTAGTTACTTGGCAGACAAATTAATTATTGAATTGTATCAACATTTTTATGAATGAGCTTAAAATATAGTACGATGCATATAATGCATTTACTATACTATTAAATTATTATTCGACAAAAGTCATCAAGATGACCATTTTTTATCAATGAATATAAATTAAGTGTAATAATTCTTTAATTAATATAAATAACAGAGTAATTAATAAAATTATTAGTACTTGATTCAATAAACTTTAAAGATGAATACTTTATAATAGCATATTTTTCTATTTAATTAAGTATTTGATAAGTAATACGTAATATTTTCTTCGACATTTAAGTAATTACTTAATTCTATAAAATTATTTTTTTTTAATTCGTATATTATAGAATATACAACAAGTAATTAAATGTTCTACTTTATCTTATGAAATAACCGATATATTTCGTTGGAATGTATTTTCTATGAAACTTTTTTACATATGAAGTCGAGCTTTGAATAATATATGATATTCTATAACATAAAAGTGAAATAAAGTTCATGTATTCTAAATTTAGATTAATAGTTCTTCAAAAGAACATTATACAAAGAAAAATTTCTAATAAGTGATATGATCATTGAAAGTTAATTAAGATTAAATAATTTAAACTTAATTTTATTTCTATTCTTATTAGTTTTTTTATCTATTTGATTCTATTTCACTTACAATTATTCCTGATTTTACACGATTAAGTATGCTTGTATAGTATATAGTAGAGAATTTTTATTTTATTAAGTAAAGAATACCGTAAGTATTATTGTTTTATATAAATAAATAATTATGTGAACAAAAATTAATAATTATTAAATGTTCATTTCATACTGTATAATTTTATCATAATTTATTGATTAATTAAAATAGTATATATATTTATGTAAAAATTATTATTGAAATAAGTTTTAACGAAATTATTATCGAAATTATTAACGAAATAAATATAACGAATCATTTTTAATGGATAATAAAATAATTAAAATACATTCTAAATAGCTTACTTCGTACTATTTACACACACACACACACACACACACACACACACACATATATATATATATATATATATATGTGTGTAAATAATTCTTCATCGTTATTTTTATAGTATTTTTTATTAATTTCAAACGAAAATCAATGTGGAAGAAAGACAATTTTTATGTCTTTGTTTTATTACATTGAAAACTGTTATAATTATTAAACAGTATTATAGTAAAGTTATTTTACACAGTTTTTCCTGAAATTATATACATTTATTTATTCATTTTTAAACATTATTTTTTCGCTAAAATTATATGAAAAATAAAATTTTTAACAACAGATTAATAAAAGTGCAAATGTTTAAAAAAACTGTAGTAATAGAATCTTTAGATAATTGTAAATTTTATAAATTATAATGCTAAATTATAAATGCTTCTTCTACGACAACAAGATCTAAAGCTCTAAATGTTTAAAGTTGTATTATCGAAATAACGAAATTTTGGAAGATATTAGTATAGTTTAATAATATTTGAATATAGTGAAATATTTTTTAGGAAACGTTTGTCATGGCGACAGTTCTCTAGCAGTATTCATAGGTTGCAAAATATATAAAAAATATAAAGGTTGAAAAATAGATTTCAAAAATATTAGATATTTGAATTCCAAAATTTTATATTTGAACAAATTAAAAAATTTTAATTTTTTTTTAAATAAGAAATCATAATTATTTTGTTTATGAACCAAGTGGTATTTATATAATTTTAATGTATATGTATGAATCTATAATATGAATTAATAATTTCTTCTTAAAGCCAAAATTATGTATTTTCTGTACGAAACAAATTTTTTGAAGAATTGTTATTTTAATAAAAATATATTTTATGTATATTCTTTTTAAATAACAGTTTTTTCTTATATTTGTAATTGAACTAAAATATTAATAGATAATATGAATAGAGGATATATAATAAATTTAGGACATAATTGGCACATTTTCTTCAAGTATAATAAAATATACTAAGTAAAATGGTGCCATTCTTATTACGTATTCTTTGCATAGAATTTCTCTGGAATAAATTAAATTGCTTATGCATAGACGTATATGTGCGAATAAGAACTTTAACAGAAACTTAGCATAAGTTCCTTTAGAGTTTTATAAGATATAGATTATAAATCGTTTTATATAAAGTCAAGCTGTACTAAGATAATTAATTCAAATAGTAATTATGAAGTAAAATGGCCATTCTTACTTTAATAATTATTTTTAGTTTAGTATTTGCGTATTTATTTTAACATTTTTAAATTTTTAGTCATATTAGTAAGTAAATCTTAAGTATTATTAACTATATAGGAATAACTAGATAATTAATTTAATTGTATTAAAACTTTTTTTACATACTAAATTTAAATATGACAATTATGTTGTAATTTGAAGAAAAATGAAATTTAAATCGTGCAAAAATATCTTATTCATCGGAATTATCATTAGAGTTTTTCTAAAATTTGAATAAATTTCATACACATGTATATATATATACGCCATTTTTATTTATTTGTTTATTTGTAGGTAAACAGTACAATTATATGAGTCATAAATGTATTAGGTCTTGATTTAAATTAGATTTCAATTAATAAATAAAAATGTATATAATAAATACATAAGTTTATATCTATATTAAAAATTTTATTATATATTAATATAATAATAAATGAATGAATTTTTCTACGTATATATTTGAGTTTGTAATTAATTAAAAATTATCAATTATTAAATAATATCTATTAAGAAAACAATTTGTACATAAATTGTTTATTTTTTATTATTATTTAGATAATCAGTGTATATATTAGATGCTAATTTGCTGTGTATGTTTAATTGTTAACCTTGCAAAATAAAATATTTATAAATATAATATACAACCCGAAATATTACTATTATATTTAGTAATCATTTATTTTTTCTTACAAAGATGTATATTTTATTCTTATAATTTATTAAAAATTTTTTCATTTCATATCTACATTTGTATAATTATTGTATACGATATTATTTGCTAAATGAAAAACAAAGTATGTTAAGAATAAAAAGATATTTTTTCTTCTCAGTAATTCCACGCAATAAGAAAAATTATGCATAATTTCATAATTTGATATTCATACCACCGTGAATTTCATATTATTCAAAACCCTACGCATAAGACTTACGATATGGTAATATAAGTTTATGATAAGTGAGTTAGACCCTTTGAAAAATGCTGAAATATGGCTATGGAGAGGTAAGAGTAATCTCGCGACTGTTCTAAATTTACTTGGAATTCTTAACGCTTCATACCTACTAAATGTGATCTCAAATTTTCTTTCATCTTAAACGAGACAATATGATCAGCTGTAAAGTGTAGAACAAATCTGCTATAGATAAAAGAGAAAATTCAAAAGTAATGGAGAAAAATAAATAAAAATGCCTCTGGGCTGAGTCTTTTCTTAGAAGCTAATGCAAAAGGTTTCTTAGATAGGTTTTTTTAGTCAAAGACAAAGAAGTATGTATAGAAAGTGGAGCGAAAACTTATATTTCACGTCCTTACCCTCTTAATACAGCAATTCTGACTCACTTATTGTTTATTCTTTTCTCTTTTCAAGTACCCATTTTTGCTATCGAAAACATTTTCATCCAACAGATTTCTACTTCTTGAGTGTGTTATATGATACCATGTTTTATATAATCAATATTTTCGTGTCAATGAGATTTTTGTTAAGAAAATAAGAAGCATTTATTTTTTAAACTGTCAATACTTGAACTTAAATTAGTAATTAGTTACTACATAATTAAAATTATTTCTATATGATATTATAATTCGTTTGCTTTTTTAGTGTATTATTTTTGTTATTATTTTTTATTGTAAAAAATGTAGTATTATTTTCTTATCTGATTTTCTTTATGTAATGATATTTTTTTATATACTCTTAACTAAGTATTAAATTGGGTATTCCAATTTTATATATTTAATTGAAAATGAAATTTAGAATTCGTGAACTGTAATTATTACTTTTATATTTTTTAAATAAATACATGATTCATCACTACGTTGGATTATTGATAATTAGGATTATTAATAATTATTATTTTTATTTTTATTAGGCTGCTTATTTATATAAATTTGTTGTTAGAACTATAGTTTAATCATTTTTATAATCATATAACTTTTATCTGATATTAATATGGATCGTTTTATATTGCTTTTATATGCAATTTTTATATTTTATATTTTAATTAAATAATTTAAATTATAAGTCGTAAAATTTGAGCTTTTAAACATTAAAAAATTCTTTTACATTAAATATAATAATTCGAATATTAAAAAAGGATAAATGTTTACAGGTTATTCAGAATTCTACTTACCTGATCATTATATTTTTTAAATATAAATGTTTCTATTAAAACTTAAGCAGATATTATTTATTAAATTTCACATATATTTCAAAATTAATTTAATTAAAATATATTTATTTTAAATACGCTATATATACAAATAATTATATAAGTTTATAATAATTAATCTCATGTGTTGTGTATTTTTATATTTGTATGAGTTTCATCAAGTATATCTTTACAAAATTGTTGCTAATTATTAATGTATGATTATACTCTATTCATAATAATATAAAAAATTTAATATATTACATATTATATAGTATTTCATATTTTTATAATATCAACATTTCTTATATAAAAACTTCTAAATCCACATGAGATGCCCATCAATTTTTTCTTCCTTGATCTATATTTACCTTTTCGCTATTTCATCATAATTCTTCTTGCTCAGCAAGCTGTACAAACAAACTAAACTTACCGAAAACGATGACGAACGTCATTTTTACAGTCTTGATTTTGGCCCTGGGTATGAGACCCCTTGAGGAGGCTCTCCTAGTATCTTTTGTGGGATCTTGCTTTAATGCACTGCTCTGCGACCAGATGGTCCAGACAATGACCATGTAACAACCACCAATAATCAATGTTGGTACGACGAAAAGCGTAATGCTTACTATACTCATGTAAATACGCCAATTCGTCTCAGTACCAAGGTCAATCCAACACTGCTTTTTGCTCTATAATCAGTTAAATTTTGATCGATGATATTATGTTTTATGTAATTTGTGTAATTTCCAAACAGTTTTGGCTTATCATAAAGATGAGAGATTTGAAAATTGACTATTTATTTAAAATTTTATTATTTAAATGCATATTTCATTAATACTGGTTTTATGACTATATTTCTTTTTCAATAGAAATTGAAAGTGTTTCTTGTCAACTTGAAAGCATTTCTTCTTTTTGACATTTGATTATAAAATTATGACGATGAAATAGTAAGTAAATAATAAAAAAATTGCAGTGGAATACGTAAATTTTATCAATGAATTAAATTTTTAATATTATTTATAAAATTTAATATTTCAAATGTTCATAAAATTGGTAATAATATTATTTACAATTATTCATGTTATATATTAATATTAAATTGAATTTTTTGAGAGAACTTAATAACTTTTACAAGAAATTGATAAACAATCATTTTAATAATTGTATAATAATATAATATTTTTTGGAATGCAGTTAAGTTTTAATTATTACGTTATAGTTATGTAGTTTAAAAATATCGGTAATAAATTAATAAATTATTCAGAATATTACATTTATATATTAAATTATAAGACTCTAATTATTATTTTGAATAAGAAAAAATAAAAAAGAATAAAAGAAAGATAAAACTTGCTATACATTCGAAAAAATACTATATTATTATACTTTGTAAAATTAATATTATATTTTATAAAAAAATTTGAGATCGATAATACGATTGCTACCCATAACAAAAACTGTAATAAAATTATTTTTCAATTAGTTTACTATTACATTACTGTTATATATATTTTTCTTTAATATATACCTCAACCATTTTCTCTTCATATAGGAAAATAATTGGTACGCTGAAAAATACGGAAATGGTCCAGGCGGTGGTCACTAAAGCTCGTGCTCTGCACCCTATTAAATCAAAAATATAATTCAATTAGAAATTACTATACAAGTTTGATTTACTATTAATTTTATTTTGTTTCATACATTTAATGAAATGCAAAGTCACATAACCGTAACAATTCTAAGGACCATTAGTTTAAAAACTTGACTCAAAACTATTATACAGTATTAATATGTTATAAATTATACAAATAAATGGTTTCGTCTTTTTTCTTACAAAATAATTTTTTTTTTTTTAATATAAAAATAGTGGTTTTTGCATTAAAATTTATGTAAATTAATTAATTTCAATTTATATATTACAATAGTTATTATAAAAATTGAATATTAAATTAATTTAAATTTACAATAATTAAAAAATATGTATTTTAGGTAAATATGAAAATGAAAAATTATTATTAATAAAAAGCATTAAAATCAAATTAAGTAATTTTAGGAAGACAAATTGTATGGGAAATAAGAAGTATATAGGAGAGATAAGAGCTTCTTAATATCTATCTGAATTTTACTCATAATCATATATAAAAAATATGTATTTAATCTTCGAATGTAAAATATTGATAATTTTTATTATTTAAATTTAAAAATTTGAAGAACATGCAGCACGTAAACTTTTATCTATATTTAAAAGTAAATTTTTCTTTCAATACAGGAGTATGAGCTACTTGATGAAATGCATGATTCTAGCATGAAACATTATATTTGTTTCAACATGATATAGATTTAAGTAATTCTAATCACTATTATTCATTTTATAGATCATGTTTTTGTTTTAAAATGTAAAAAAATAATTGAGTTATTGAAAAATATATATATTTTCCGATGTGTTATAATTATAATAATATGTTTTTACGTATAAATTCATATTTTGTTTAAAATTTACGACTATATTTATAAAAATCTAATAGTAGTTAATACTTCAGAATATTAAAAGTAACACGTTTTCCATATTTATGTCTTAAAAAATAATATTAATAAGTAAATATTATATTAATATATGTTTTTTATTTATACAAAATTTTGATAATGTAAATTTATAAATACTATACATTTAATTATTATTCAATAACATTGAATTTGGAAAGATGAAATGATAAACAATGATATACATAAAATGATGATAAACATAATGATAAACATAAAATGATGAACAAACAAATTTGGAAAGATGAAATGTATAGATCAAATTAATATTACATTTATGATAATAATTTTTATCATCTCCTTATATGCGAAAATGTAGTTACAAACACGCTCGCACGGGTACATATATATTTTTCATAAAATTGAATAAAAATAAATTTAATATTTTTAAAAATAAAGTCTTAAACTAAATACAACATAAATAAATAGAAGTCAAACAAAATTATCATCTTAAATAATTGTATAAAATATAAAAATGAATATTATATTTATAAAAATTCAAAAGCTTTGTAACTTTAGCTCAATAAATATTTATGGTGTATGAAAATTAAGGAACAGTTTCTGAATACTAGAATATTATATCGTATATGTAACTCTATAGTTACTAATTATATTCTGCTGCAGAATATATATTTTTGAAAGCACTTTCATTAGTATAATTTTATGCTGTTAAGAGTTATTAAGAAAAAGTTTATTTTTCATATTCTATAACTATCAAATATTATTATTTGTTATAATTCCTAAATATATATATATATATATATATATATATATATATATATATATTAGCAATAATAAAAGTTTTAAATTATATTTTTATAGTTTATATAGTAATAGAAAAAAAATAGGAATTTCTATATTATCTAATATAACACCCGACCTACATTTTTGGCAATAAATTACTTTTTGACTATTTTGTCAAATATAAATTTTTAAAAGCTATCTAGTAATAATATTGTAAGATAAGTATATAACAAATATTTTAAATAATTAGTTAATTTATACTATAAATTTAAAATAAAATTATACATAAGAAGAAAAATATCTATATTTTTATATAAAATAATATGAATTGAATATACTATACTAAAAATATATTTTTTTAAAATAAAAATGATCTAAGACCATATTAATTTAATTATTTTTAATATAAGACTGTATTTAAGTAAATTGAATTCTTAAACATATATGAAAATTTGCAGAAATAAGAGAATAATAAAAATCATCGAGAATATATAGCAAGAGGAAAGTGAAGGGCGTATATACTCACAGCTCCTGGAAAAGTTCATCGGTCGCGTAATGGCGTCGTATCTGTCGATAGAGAGAGCAACGAGCACATAGGTCGAGCTGTATGTGACGACAGCTTGCACGAACCTTATTATTTTGCAAGCAATGTTTCCCGCATACCACGAGACCGTTGATCGCCACACGATATCTGTTAGCACTGATATTAAACCTACCATTAAGTCTGCAATAGAAGAAATTGATGTTACTGTGAGGTTGGAGATCAACTTGCATTGTCTGTAACTTAATACGCTAGTATATATCGCTTTAATGATGACTGTCGCAATTATATGTTACTCTGATTAACTTCAATTCTTGCAAATTAAACGAAACTACGTGGCTTTTCTTTTTTTTTCATTAATTTGTATATTATATCGCTTATTTATTGGTTTGTTAATACGCATATGGGCATTTTGTTGAATTTATAGATGATTGCAAGGATTAATACTGATTTGATCAAAGCTAAAAAGGGCAATGTACAAATTATTCATTTTTTAAATTTGATAAAGTTTTTATTAAAAAGTTTTTATTAAAAAATTAAAATTATCAAAAGAAGTTTTATTCTAAGTTGTTTCTTCGCAAACAAGAAATTTAAATGCTTTTTATATATTCAAACTGCTAAATTATAAATACCATTTAAGTATGAATAATTTAGTGTACATTATCAATTAGTTTAAATTCCAGCAAATATTTTTTATATAATTACATAAATTAAAAGTAGCACGAAATATGAGTTTTATATAATGCACAATTTATGTAAAAAATGTTAAGTATTCAGAAGTAAAATTTTTAAATGAATTAATTAAAAATAACGATTCAGAAATTTTTGAAATCAAAGTCTTACATAATTTTATGCATTTTTAAAAAGGTAATTTTATTATTTTTTGATCATATTTGAAATGGTTTGAAATATTTTGTTACAATTTATTCTAAATATTCTAGTACTTGAATTTTTATGATCTTCTCTTGTCATTAAAAAATATTGAAATACTACTTTCAACCATTTCGCAAGATTACTCACAAGAATTTAATATATATCATAATTTGTAATAATACTGTAGTCTATCCAAATTGTTTTTTTTAAATCTAACTATTATTTATCTGAAGAAAAAAAATGGTTCCCATAAACCTAAAAATATTTCTATATTTAACAAATAAAATAATATTTTTACAATAGTACTGAATAAAATTAAGACTTTAAATGAAGTAAATACATTATGACTTATATTTTTTTTTTTAAATTTTCAATAATTATTCATTGTCATTTTTTATTTCTCGAAATAAATTTTTAAATATAATCTTGAAATTTGTAAATATATTGCTATGAAAGTATAAAAACTTTATAGATAATAAATAGTATTAATATAACCTTCATAAGTGTGAAGATAAAGTATAACTATTTAAAATATAAAACTTTGAATTTCAATATGTACTATATTTATATAGAGACACAAGTAAATCCATACATATGTGACAGTTAATTAAAATATGTATAAATTTTTGTTTTACTATTTTATATATTAAATTATTTAAACGGTGCAGCTTTTATGTTTGGTTCTATTTATGCTGCCTGAAGTCAAATATGTAATATTATTTTCTTACAATTTTTATATATAAGTTTAGTTATCGAGAGTAGTAAATGATATTAAATTTTCAATTCTATTTAAAAATTGAATTCTATATTATTTTGTATATAATTATATATATCGAAAGAATTTATTGCAACAAATTAAAAATATATATATATATATATAAACTAAATTATTAATAATTCATAATGTTCATAATTATATAATCATTTAAAGAATCTTTTTCCTTTGTATCGTATGTTCAATTGTTATATTATAGGCTTCAGATCTTTATTATAATAATGAACATAGTTTTGTTCTGTTTTAAACATAGAGAAGTTTCATCTAAAAATTTTATAATTTTATTTTATTTCATATTTTATGAATATTTAATTAAAATTAAGAATTTATTATTTAATATATGATGAAATTAATTATTATAAAACATTCTAAGAATATATCGAGATGATATGAGATAATTATAATTTATGAGACAGTAGTTAATTAAATAATTATATTACGAAAAATAGAATTTTTGTACATTCGAAATTATTAAAAATTTAAGTACTAACTTGTTGTTAATTGTAAAGAAATTTTATATTTACTATTATTCTTAATTATAATCGCTGGAAATAATATTTTATAGTTGGAAATATGAGTATTTCAATAATCCTCTTAAAATATATAATTAGCAAATTTGAATTCAGTTAATTATATTAGTTTATGACAATATTCATTTAATGACCAATACATGCATATGCTTCGTTTTTTGTATTGTTCGTTAGTGTGTTCTTAACAAAATTGAACCGTATGCTTTAAGTGATATTTTCAAAAGTAATTAGTTTCGTAATGCATCTGTATGTTTTTTCATTCTACTTTCTCTGTTTATATTTTTTCAACGTGCCTCTTTCTCTTTTTCTCTAGCTCTTTTATTTTTATTTAGCCTTTCTCTTTTCTACCGATTAATAAGAAAGGACATATTTTATAGTGTGATTAAAAAATTGTAAAAATGATTATATTCATTCTTTTAAAGTGCGTAATTCATTATTGCAAAATATGTTAAATATAAAAGTATTAAATTGTTTAAAAATAAGTTAAATTATTATTATAATTAATTGTATTATTACGAGTAATACTTGACTAGTAGCGAAAATAGTCTTGATTTTGACAATTTTAATGGAAAGTTAATAAAATTTATATATATTTAAACTAATAGTTATTATAATGATTTTCTTACATCAACATTTATCAGTAAAAATTTATATATCAAGAAATATATTTAAAAAGAGTATTTATAGCAAAAGTATTGAGTAATTACTAACAATAAAAATTCTGAAACTATTACAAAAAATTGCTTTGAAAACATTTTTAAGACAGAAACTTATAGGTAAATTTATAATTAATTTAATATTATTTTAAAACTATAATTAAACATTTTTTTATAATATCTACTTTAACTAAATTATTAGAATTCAAATTAATTATTTCGTATGCAATTTATAGCTTTAGATTATTTTAATTTAATAATATATTTTTTATATACTTAAATAACGTTCTGGAAAAATATTTTTGAATATTCTTCTTTATAATTTTTATTAATTTAATAAATGAGATTTGGTTAATATTTTGAAGCATCCTATGAAGTTTAGTTACTTATTGTTTGCAAATGAATTATAATCCTAAAGCTTTTAACAATCTAAATAGAAATTAAAAGTAAATTCAAAATCTGAGTCATGATTATAAATATCTTCACTCCATATATATATCTAAATAAATAAAACTGTAGTAATATGTATAAAAAATGTGTATCGAATGAAAAAAAATTTGTTAAGTCTAATATTCAGGATAACTATATACAACCAAGGTCTTCAGTACAGAATTCATAAATCGTTGAAATTTAAGATTCATCATAACAATATAATTGACTTTTTATTAATATAATATAATTTCGAATTCACAATAAAACTCCTATTTAAATTACCACTAGAATTTTTTAATTTACCTCTTTTTATTATTAAAATCATATTATATTTTTAATTATAGTAAATACTTTGCCATATGGTCATTTCTTGTATTATCGTCGAATTAAAGATTTAATCATTCTTTAAATTGTTAGCGATAAAATCTAATTTTTTTTAGTATGTTTAAGGAATAATTTACAAGCGTTAATTCGAATTATTTGAAATTTTATCAAAATATTTCAATAAATTTTCAAAAATATCAAAATGTATATACATAATATGATTTTAAATTATTTTAAACTTAAAATTTGTCATTTTTTCTCAAACTAAGTACATTAAATAGATTATTATTACATGGAATTATTAACGAAAATGAATTTAGTCATAAAAAATTGAAGTATATGTATTAGAATAGTATTGGCCTAGTTTTGATTTTGACTGCATGAATAAACTTTTTCTTGAATGAGTACATACGTATTTATATATATATATATATATATCAACTGGTAAAAGCGGAGGAGAATACAAAAAGGAGAGAGGCAGAACTTCTAAGAACTCGTGCACCATTAGAGCAAAACATTAAAAGACGAAGAGGGTACTAAAACGTCGATTTACTTTAATTAAACTTAAAGAAGATAATCACACTATACATATGGAACATGAATTATATCATAGCTCTTTACAATCCTGTACCATAAAAATATATGGAAGATTAAACTTTCGATTACATTATAGTTATGTATGTATACTAATAACCACCACTCATTATTAGTAAGAAATATGCAATAGTATTCATTAATGACTTACTGTAATTGAAATTATTCATTGCTATATTTCTATTCAAGAGAATATATATATATATATATATATATATATGTGATGGAATATTTGAAAAAAGTAATGTAATTATATAAAATCTTCACAAATTTAATATCAATTAGTGTAATTTGCTAAATAGTATATTTAATTAAAATTTCATTTCCTAGTAGATTTATTCTCAGGTAATTTAGTTTAAGCGTATTTTACAATTGTGAATTAAAAAGAAGTTTCACAAATACTTTATACCATTTAAAAGGGAATATAAGGTTACATCTTGGACTCGATAACGAGAACCATGGTATTTTTTTACGGAATACTTATCCATGATTAACTTTAAAGAAAAGACTCGCTTTATAAAAGTATCTCAAGTACCGGTGTGTTTCAGATGTGAACGTATTTTGCACGTGCAAGCGAAAGTTTGGAGATTTGCGCCGGGGGCCAAATGATTGATTATAAAAGGGGGCTTGAGCGGGTACTGTCAGTTAGGCGTCAGAACTTCGACTCCTGACAGTTTATCTTTTCCTTAAAGTTATGTTTTTACATGTCTGTCTGCATAAACTCGAAAGAACCCTCGTATGGTGGATTTTATTTTTCAAGGAGAAGTAGTTTCATGTTTTATATTTTATACAATTGATAAAGGTAATCGGATTAATGCATCTTTATACTTTAGAGTTCGAGTTTTAAATTTATATTTTTACTAGATGAATATTTTATTTAAATCATTAATTTTGTAATAAAATAGTTTCAGATAAATTTAGAACTTCATAAATGATAAATAAAAATATGAATTAATAATATATACGTATTAAAATAGAAATAAGCATGAAGTTTAATTA